GATTTTTCTTTAAGCCTTAATACACTTTTTTCACACTACTTAAATTGGAAAGAAAATGATACAGGACATGACAGAGCAACATAATAAAATTAGAAACACCCAGAATGAATGGCAGAACTAAGGAAAGAATTAGAAATAAAAATAACATTTTAGAAATGAAGACTAAACTAGAAGAAAACCAGGAGTAAATAAAAACAGCAGCTAATGCCTTAAGAGAAATAGAGAGCTAAAAGAAAGAATTTTTTTTTAATTAAAAAAAGATGTGAAAACAGAAATAAAAAGATTTTGAGGAAGGGTGACTATTAAAGATAGGTAAAGAAAATCTAATACATAGATAATAGTTTCTGAAGAAAGAAACCAAAGAACAGCACAAGTACAAAAATATTATTAAAGATAATGCTGTTGGAAAAAATTGGAACTGTATATTGAAAGAGCACGCAATCTACCTGAGAATACTGACCGGGAATGACCAACACCAACACATAATCTAGTAAAATTACTCAGTGTTAGAGGAGAAAACATTGGGGGGCATCTAGGTGAAAAGAGTAGGTAACTTATAAGGGAAAGAAAATTATATTCTCATGAGATTTTTTCAGCAATGCTTTATGCCACGAGAAAATGGAGTACCATATCTAAGATTCTCAAGAAAAGTGAATCAAGGTTTATTTATCTAACAAACTGATTTTTAAACATAAAAGCACAAGATGTCACCAACATACAAGAATATGGTTTCCATAAGCCCTTCCATAGAAAACTATTAAAGAACTAGCTTCAGACAACCAAGATGGCTAGTGAGATATCAATGTAAGAGCTGATGATGAGCATTAAATATGTATTACTTATAGAACTAAGATTAAATGAAAATGAAAATGAAAAAGTATTGTTTGTAATGGATATATGTGCTCATGATACGGATATAGTATGATTAAAAAATAAGAGGAAAGAGGGAGAGGAATAGCAGGAAAATATTTAACTCTTTTCAGCAATCATATTGGAGGTATTAGTATTAGTATTGTTATCCTGAGGCTGTTGTGTGTATAACATGGGATGAATGAAATGAATAATTATGGAATATACTGATTCTATGATCCCTTATGTACTTGTGAACCAGGATTCTGGATGTGGAGGAACTACAGATGTAATACAGAAGAAGTTAAATAAAATCACCTAAATGGGATTTGGAAGTATCAGTATGAGCTCATGAGTTCTTTTATACTTCAAGTATGTAGATAGTTCCTAGTTCTGTTCTATGAAGAGCTTCCCAAATGAGCAATACAGTAGCAATGAGAATCCCTAGCACTCAGATTGTTATCTGTAAATGTCAATTCCTAAAAGGAACTAAACAAACAAGAACTTTTTGAAAAAGTGACTGATTCTGGGTCTAGGATAGAAAACAAACAAGATCACTCTAGAACAATTCTGTTACACAGCACTAACAACATGAGGAATCAATATACAGTAAGGATTAGGGCTCAGAAAAAGCAGAATATATACAATTACCTATGCTCTTTTTTTCTTCTCTAGCGAGGCGTACATGAGCTGGGCACATGGGACAGAGTGGAAGATGTGCCAGGAAAAGGCCCCCAGAATGAACACCTTTGCATATTTGTAGGGAAACTGAAGGTGTAGAGGCCACCTAGTTGAATATGTAAAAATAGGGTGTCCTGGTCAGGGAAATGGCCTTATTTGACATGAGTTTAGTGAGAACAGCTCCTCTATCAGTGGTGTTGTCATCCTCTGCAGCAGGGCTACTCAAACTGTAATGTGAATGAAAGAATTACTAGAGGGATTTTGTTAACAATTTTGAGTCAGCAGATCAGGTTGGGACCCAAGGTTTTGCACAGTGAAAAAGAAGTAGGATTTGTGCACTTCCCTTGCGTTAATTCAGATGTGCTTAGCTAACTTCTTGCTAAGCAACTGAAAAGAGGGTGAGAATAAGCTTTGAGTGCCTTGAAGGTTTGTTTTCCTTCACTGCTATAAGCAAAACTTAAAAATAGGGAGCAGCATTCTTTTAGAGGTCGGGCAGGGATAACAAGCAGCCTGGAAAGGGGAGGCCTTATTATGCCAAAAAATTTAGTAAAATTGCTGCCTACACTAACTAGGAAGGCAGACAACCTCCCTCTTTAGCTTATAGCTCTAGTGAAAGTATCTGGAAAGAGACAATTTGTGTCTGTGGCTGCTGCTTTTTTGCTTACAGCAAGGCATTACAAGTAAAGTTTGAAGTCACAGTAATAAGCAGTAGAATGTACAGAAATTCTGGGGCTTCACTAAGTTGAAAAAGCCAACTGCCTATGTACCCCTAAACAGCAGAAGAGGAGACTTGGCTTTGAGATTCCTCATAGCCCATTAAGACTTTCTGGCGCAAGCACGCACACATGAACACACACACTCCAGAGAACAAAGATGAGGGGAAGCAAAAATCAAATTAATAGAGTTCTCTGCTCATTTAAGCCTATTGTTTCAGATGATTTCAAGGCTGCCATTAAAAAGATGTTAAGAATGGGTTGAAAACTACAAAAAAAAAATAGGTTGAGAGTGGAAGTAGGAAATATGGCAGGTTTAACAACTACTTCTAGAAACAGTTTTGGGTGTGGTTACTGGCACCTGAAGCCGTCTGCAAGCAAAGTTTACTGAATATTCAATGAAATAATATTTTTATTTTATGGATTGATTTGAGAGAGAGAGAAAGAGAGAGAGAAATTGATTTGTTGTTCTACTTATTTACACATTCATTGAGTTTTGTATGTGCCCTGACTAGGGTTTGAATCTGCAACTTTGGTGTATGGGGAGGATGCTCTAACCAACTGAGCTAGCTGGCCAGGGCCAAATTATATTTAAAATAAAAATAAAAACACTGAAAAACCTGGCCTACAAAAGTCTCCAATTGTTCAAGTCCTAAGGCATTCCCCCTAAGAGGGAATACTCTCCAAAATCCAGTTAATCTATATTCAGAGGACAAGGTTGGCCTACAGAATATAATAGACAATGGAGATCTTCTGAAAGAGCAGGATTAGGGTTTAACCAAGGAAACTTCTCCACTATCAGGGTAGTCGGTGTTCATAATTCCTACCCAGGATTTCACCATTGCTATGGACAAGTAATTGCTGTGTTTCCTATCCTTTTTCAGAGTTTTAAGTGTGGTTATCCTGTTCCTGCTCCACTGTTGTTTTGTATTACATGTATGGGCATGAGGCAGATCGTTTGTTTTATAGTTTATAAAACTATAAAACATGAAAATCCACAACCTGACCTGATGGAGAAGATTGTGTATCACAGACATTCTGGATTTTGAGCTGACATAGAAACTAAATGGGAGCCCTGGCCAGGTAGCTCAGGCTAGAGCATCATGACTGACACCCAAAGGAAAACACCTGATGCCTCTCATTGCCCGTAAAAGTTCAGAGGATCTTGGAGCATCTCCCAGGTTTGAGGGGCATTATGCTGGCTTATGCCAGGGCCTTATTTGTTAGCAATTGGTGTTATGGGACTCAGTGTGGTATCAAAAGGGTTCTTAAGCTCAGCATCAAGAGCTACTGGGGAAAGGACTGTCAGATCTCTGATCAGGGCGCATACAAGAATCAATGAATGAATGCATAAGTAAGTGGAACAACAAATCGATCTCTCTCAAATCAATAAGTAAAAAAATAAATAGGAAATTGAACTCTTTTCTTTATGGGTGAGAGTATTCTATGGTAAGAAGAAGGGTACAAAAAAAAGAATACACACGGGTATTTAGATGGGAGAGGGACAGACGAATGGAGACTGCTGATGATCCCTTTAAAACCATCCTTTTCTTCTTCCTGGGCAAAAACTTGCCCAATTGGAAGCAAAATTTCCAGTCTCACTGTTGCTAGGCATGGGTGTTTGACAAAATTCTCGCCCACGGAGTGAGGTCTAAATTGATGTGGGCAATCTCCATATCACTTCCTTAAAGTATTTTCTTATTCTGGCCTTCTTTTCCTCCTCATTCCTATTAGAGGAAACATGCTATTTTTCACATGTCAAGGTGGAAAAAATTCAAAAGTCTGACATCCTTTGTAGGCAAGGCTGTAGAAAATTGCACTTCTACATATTTCAGGAAGAAAGGCAAAATCATCCCTATAAAGTGCAATTTGGCTATTTTTATAAAAATTGCAAGTAAATATCCCCTTTGACCTTCTTCTTGGAATGTATTCTACCTATACACGTTTCAAATGATGTATGTACAAGGTTATTCTCTGCAGCATTAGTTGATTGCTTATAAATAACTTAAGTGTCTAGCTGTAAGTATTAAATAAACTATGGCACCCCCTTGTTTCATGTAATACTTTCCAGCTCTAAAACAGAATGAGGGAGCTTTCTGGACTTACACGGTAAGATATCTAGAAAAAGTGAAAAAAATCAAGAGCAGAATAATGATATTCTGTGTTATCTTTTGTGAAAGCAAGGAAGAATGAAAATTTACTTTATGTTCAGAAATTTTGTAAGGATACATAAGAAATGAATACAATGACATACAAAGGCAGGATGACTGTATAACTCGTCTTCCAAATGGAACAGTTGCTAGAGTGAAAGGGCTTGTTATTAATAATTACTCCAGGCCAACAGATGGAAAATGGCACTGTCCTGGACAAAATGGGATGTATGATCAACTTATAAAAAGAGTACAGAGTACGAGGAGGGATGCGGAAATTTTAAAGTGTGTTTTACAAAAGTACCTGTTTGTGGTGAAATGGCAATAAAAACAACTCGTTCTTGACCTCAGGTGGTTTAAGAGCTGTCTTAAAGAACGAAGGACGGTAAACCACGGACCTGAGACACGGAACTTAACAAGAACGCGGGCGTTTTGCGTACCCGGAACTTACCGGAGTTGCACAAGCCACACACGCCTTGGAGTTCGTCGGCCAATCCGAAGTGAGAGCGTGCGAGTTTGAGCCTGTGCGATTGGCCTGGGCGGACCTGGACCTGAGGAGCGGAGCTTCGCGTCACTCAACCCTGGGCGGACTCAGCGCGGGCTCACACACGCGGCGCTCTGGCCCACACAGACGCTACTCTGTGGCATCTCGGGTTCCCTCTGGCTGCGCTCTGGAGGACTACACTCGTTTTCTATTTGGTTGTGAGGGCCAGGCAGCTTCGGCTGAGCTGGAAGAAAGATGGCGGCAGCCGTGCGACAGGATTTGGCCCAGCTCATGAATTCGAGCGGCTCTCATAAAGATCTGGCGGGCAAGTGAGTATTTCCGAGGGCCATGGGAGGAGGGGGAGGGAAGCCACAGACTTGTTCTCCTTGGGTTGACCGCGGCTTTCGGATGTGTGGCTAGTGGCCGGCCTGTGGATCAAGGGGGCGGGCCTGAGATCGGTTGTGGAGGCAAGTGTTGCAAGCAGCCGAAAGCTGAAGAGGACCTGTGCAGGGAGCCCTTGGGGCCACGGACCTGGGGTGTCTGTTAACTTGTTCAGCCCTCGATAGCATCCTTACTGGTCTCTAAGGATTCTGGAAGCGCGGTTTGGGGGATGACTGCTCCCACGGCCTTCTCAGCCTTCCCCGGTGCGTCTTCCCATCGTTGGCTGGCTTCTCACACCGAATTCTGGCCTCTCTTTGGACCTTTTTTTCTTTTTTGAAATTGGGGGAAATTTATATTTTGGGACCTTGATGCAGTGTTTTTCAGGGAGATGGTTTCTTGAGGTTTTGGGGGGTTGAGGAGGTATGGCCGCTATCTTGCCCTTCAGAACCACTCGGACCATGCTCTGTGGGTCCTTGTGTTTTGGGTACTCTCTCTCCGCCACCAACCCTGAAGAAGGGCACGTAGGCTGATGTCCTCATACCTACGTTTGTTCTTAGCCAAAAGGCCAAGAAGTGATGATGATGCCCTCATAATATGGGCCAGGATGTGTAGAGTAGTGGTGTTTGCAGGAATCTGGATTGTTTGGCAATTTTGTCGCAATTTACTAGAAGGCTTAGGTCCACTTCAAGTTATAATTATGACATGTGCCCGTCAACAGTGTTAGTCATAGGTAGATATAGATATTGTACATTTCTCTTTTTAGATTTCACAGTGCTATTCTTTTATAAAGAACATGCATTTGATTACAGCATGCTTCTCAAATTGATCCCAATATTTACATTCTGACAGCTGAGATCTCTTTGATCTATATTAATGGCATGCACCTGCTCTTACCTGGACGCTGAAACGTTGACTGTGTTTTATATAGGCTGTACTGCCTTTTCTTTGGTGGTAAATGTAATCTACTTTTATCAGTGACAAATTTTGCTGTGTATTTTGGGCTTTACTTCCTGTGGCAGTTTCCCTCTCAGGAAAATGGGGATAATTGGAGGACTTATTTTTGACTCACTAAAATAGTATGTTTGTGTATTCACATTTATATTGCATTTACATCACATAGAACAGTAGCTGACATAAAGTGCCATAAGATTATCTTTGTTACTATTATTAAACAGTTATTAATTACATATTGAGGTGTTCTATGGGTTGGAAATAAGTTGAATATGTCTTCATGGCTCAATACTTTTTGCATATTTTTTATATGTTTGGGTGAAAGTAAAACTAACTTATCTTTCCCCCCATGCTTGCTTTCCTTTTTTTTGCTGAAGAAAATAAGTGCATTCGTTATCAGAAGAGATACAGTTTTCATGTGTTTGTAGATACCTGAAACTTAAGTATTTACTTCCTTAGCTCCGAATTGCAGATAAACAACAGTACCTACATTATTTTGTGCTTCAGTTATTTATTGCTGTGTAACAAACCAAAAACTTAGTGGTGTAAAACAACTATTATTTTTCAGGATTCTTTGGATTAACTGGCCTTACCTGGGCTCATTCATGCTGGTGTACTTTGCTGGCAGCTCAGCTGGGGCTGGTGGGCTAAAATGGACACCCATACATCTCTGGCTGTTGGCTGTGTCTCTCTCTTTCTCCACATGGTCTCTCATTCAATAGTTCAGCTGAGGCTTTCTTACAGGACCAAGAGAGTAAGACTGGAAGCTGCAAGACCTCTTAAGGTTAGCCTTGGAAGTCTCACAACATCAGTTTTCAAATATTGGTCAAAGTAAGTCACAAGACCAGCCTAGATTCAAGGGGAAGGGAAATGAGTTTACCTCTTTATGGAAAGAGTGGCCAAGTTACATTGCAAAGGCACATGGTCAGAGGGAGGCATGATTCACTGTAATAATCTACCCCATGGGTTATTGTGCAGATTAATTGAAATAATGTGCTTGATAACTGGTAGCCAGTGCTTTTCGAAGAAAATCTTGGCTTTGCCTGCAGGTACATATCTGGTCCTGTCCAAGCAAGAATGTGTCAGGATATTTATTTTCATAACAAAATAGTTCCTCCAGCTACATGCTTTATGAGAAAAACACTCTTGAAATATATCAGTAGTTGTGGGGTTTACATTAGGAGCTGAGTAACAACGGATTCCATATTAAGGAGTGATAGAGAAAATGTTTCTAAAATATTGATACGGCGTCTTTTCAGCAGTTAATAGGGTATCTATAACAGAGTAGTCATTCAGTAAATGCTAGAAAGGTGCAGAGCTTAAATTTGAATCCAAGTTTGTCTACTCTAAAAAGCACATTTTTACCTATACTCCTTTAGTTCCCAAAACTTCAATTAAAAATGCTTTCCTATAACTATGAATTAACCCAGCAGTGTAAAATTGATATAATTCTCCGCATGAAAAGCATTTTTGCAGATTTTTTATACTGCTTTTGTACATACATGTATTGTGTTTGTTTTCTCATATGAAGTTTTGAAAGGGAGGAGCTCCTTGAGAGGGAACATTATTAGCTGTTATGATAGCCTGTCTTATTCACTTAGCTAGAATCTGCTTGGTTTTTGAAAACTCAGTTTAGATGTTACTTCTTCCTAAAGCCTTCTGTGAACAACCACCAATATACATTCATACCCATCCACACACAGGACCTGGTTAGTTGCTCTTATTATGCCCAGTGGCATCCTATATATTCTTTTACCTCTACTATAGAGGTTGGATTCTAGGTGCTTGTTGAGTTAATCCTATAGAAATAGAACCTTTTATGTTCTTACTTTCTTCCCAGTTCCGGGGTATGGAGGGTACAGAGGAAGATATTGGACCTTTGGAGTCTAAACTTTTCATTTCATAAACAGTTGTTAGCCTGGACAAAGGAAAGTAATGGCAGGCCTTTTAGCTGCCTTTGATTATTAGAAAAGCTGTTTTGCATAAAAGAAAATAGACTCTGCCTTACTGAGGTAGACTTTGGATTAGAATGGAATAGAACTGTCAAAAAATGGAGGACACACACACACACACGGCTATATAACCTGAGAGGCCCCTTCTAACTCAGATTCTGGGTTCTTTTTATTCCCATACCCAACAGTTTAGTGGTTCTCATCTCAAGAGTGAAGTTCCCTAACATCTAGCGTTTACTCTGTGCCAAGTGCAACTTTACTTACATTTTCAATAATCCCTAAAAAGTAGTATTATATTACATGTGAGAAAACTGAAGTACAGAGGTGAAATACCTTGCTCCAAGGTCATGTAGCTAGTGGCAAAGCCAGAATACAGCCTGCTTGGCTCATAGCCCTTACCTCTAAACACATCTATCTTTTGGCCCTATATTTTTACCAAACTGGACTACATTCAGATAGTGATTGATTTATTTATTTTGCCTACAATGCCTTTCTTCCCTCCATTCTTTCCCACTTAACACAAAGATGAAATATTTAGAATGCTTAAAGATCAACCTCATTAGGAAATTACTTCTCTCTCCTAAAAAATTATATTAACACCTGTTTTTAAGATTTTTGTCTTTTGATTTCCAGCAACTTCATTATGTGTCTATATGGATTTGTTTTTACTTATCTGTGCTGGTTAGCTTTTGCTGTGAAATAAACCTCTGTAAAACTTGGTGACTTTAAACAGCAATCATTTATTTAGCTCATAATTCTGTTGGTTGGCAATTTGGGCTGAGCCCAGCTGGATGGTTCTTCTCTGCTCCACATGGCCTTGGTTCCACATGGGCTCCCACATGTGCTTGTAGTCAGCTGCAGGTCAGGTAGGCAGACCTGCTTCTGTATGTTGGCTGAGGCAAGTGGAAGTGACTGAGCTACGTATTTCATTATTCAATAGGTTAGCCTGGCCTTGTTCATGTGGAACAGCAGGGTTCCAAGAGATAAAAACACATATAAAGCCTCTCGAGGTTTAGTTTTAGAGCAGGCACTTTGCTTCTCCTGCATTCTGTTGGTCAAAACAAGCCCAGATCAAAGGGTGGGGAAATAAACCACCTCTTGATGTGAAGAACCACAGTCTCATTGCAAAGGAGCATAGATACAGACAGTGAAAGAACTGTAGCCTCTTTCCATAAATGCTCCACCACATTAACCTGGTTGAGCTTAATTTTATTTCGTGAATCAATAGATTGTATTCTTTAATTGTTCTGGAGAAATTTTTAGCTATATCTCCTTAAATGTTGCCTCTGTTCCATTCTATTTTCTCATCTAGGACTGCACTGAAACCCCTGTTAGTTCCTCTTACTGTGACCTCTGTGTCTCTTACCCTGTCTTCTATACTTAACAATTCAGTGCTTTATTCTGGATAAGTTCTTCTGACTTGCCTTCTAGTTTATCAGTTGTTCAGGTGTGCAGTTAAGAACTCCATTTAGTTTTTAAGTTTGGCTATTGTGTGTATTTTTAATATATATATTTTTATTGATTGATTTTAGATAGAGAGGGAGAGGGACGGAGGGAGGGAGAGAGAGAAATATCATCGATTTGTTTTTCCACTTATTTTTGTATGCATTGATTGATTCTTGTATATGCCCTGACCTGGGATGGAACCCACAACTTTGGTGTATGGGGACAATGCCCAAACCAAAAGACCTACCTGGCCAGGGCAGCATTTTTGTAGTTCTATTTTGGTGGTTCTTTTTTCAAATGACACTTTTCATGATTCCTAGTTTCTTGTTGAAACTTAAAGCTTGTCTTTATCTTCATAAACATGATTGTATTACAGTCTTTCTGATAACTCTAGTATCTAGAGTCCCTGTCTATTGTTGTCTGTTTTTGTGGATTCTAGCTCATACTGTCGTGTGCTTTGTAATCTTCATTTGTTGGGCAAATTATTTAAAAATGTATTTTTAAAAACAATAGGAAGGCCTGGCCAGATGTGGCTCAGCAGTTGAGCATCAACCTAGGATCCAGGAGATTGCAGTTTGATTCCCGGTCAGGGGACATGCCCCGGTTGCGGGCTCAATCCCCAGTCGGGGGCTTGCAGGAGGCAGCCTATCAGTGACAACTCTCTCATCATTGATGTTTCTATGTCTCTGTCTCTCCCTCTCCCTTCCTCTCTCTGAAATCAATAAAGATATATATTTTTTTAAAAACAAAACAATAGGAGGCCTAGGACGTTACCTTTCAGAGAAGATTTTCATTTCCTTCTGCCAGGCACCTGAGGGTGCTAGCCTTAGGCTTCAGAATTTTTTGCTTTACCTTGGTGATCCTTGGAATAGATTTTGTAACCTTACTTCTAAAGTGCTAGTGTTCCTTCCTTTGTCCAGCAAGGAACTGAGATTCCTGTTCTGCCAGAAATTGTAACTTGCTGCTCAGTTTTTCCAGCAGATGGCAGAATGTCCCAAAGCAGAACCCACCCCTTCCCCACCAAAAGTGCCACTGTACTTCTCAGCTGACTTTCCAGTCAGCAGATGTTTTCAGACAGAAGCTACTATTCATCTCTTTATGCTTTTATTTTCACCTGTTTTTTCTATCTGTTAGGATTTTATGCTGTTAATTTTTATTTTTTGCATTTCTTTCAGCTTGTTATTTTATTTATTTTGAGATAGGGTTGATCTAATCATCTAATTCACCATTACTGTAAATGAAAGATCTGTTAATACATGCCCATTTCACTCATTTTGGTCCTAAATAGTGACTGGTACATTTTCGTGTGTATATGTTTTATTTACCTTCAGATTCCTTTTAAGGCCAAGAAATCATGAATTGACTTACTGAACTTTGGTTCATATACATATACATATACATATACATATACATATACATATACATATACATATACATAATAAATGCTCAGTAAATATTTGTTGATAAATGGATAGGCAAGGTGCCTTAGTAAAATTTATTTTCCTCCATAATATTAAAATTTAAAAAAATTTGATTTAAGTGAGGGGGAGAGAGAGAGAAAAAAAAACATTGATGTGAGAGAGATACGTTGATCAGCTGCCTCTCACTAAGACATTCAATCTTTAATATTTGGTTACATTGTCTAGTCGACATTATCCTGTTGTTAGTGACCCTAGATTCATGAGTTCCACAAGAGGAAAGGGTTCTGGGTCACCTTGAATAATATTCTCATGTTTCTGTGTAATACATAGTTGAAGGAAATAATGGCTTATATAAGGCATTTGAAACGAAATTGATTTTTTAGTTTAAATTCAAAACTACAACTTTCAAGCAAAAGTTACCTTAGATCTAGTAACTTCTAGATTCACTTTTTCTTATGATGGACTTGAAAAGTTTTTAAAAGGAGTGGTAAACGGTAAAGCAAACTAAAGTGGCGCTGTAGTGACTTTTTAGTTGAAATTCAAAACAAACTTTCAAGCAAAAGTGGCACCTTAGATGCAGTAACTTATAATTACAGATTTATACTTTCTTGGACTAGAAACTTAAAAAAAAGAAATTCTGTGGTGTACTATAAAGAAAACAAGAAACAAGAGCATTGTGAAAGACACCAGGGTAAGTAGAAATGAATAAATGCCAATGTGAACATTAGAATATATAGAGCCCTCTGAACATTATTTTTATTTGGTATTGTTTTAGGTATCGTCAGATCCTGGAAAAAGCCATTCAGTTATCTGGGGCAGAACAACTAGAAGCTTTGAAAGCTTTTGTGGAAGCAAGTAAGTGGAATGAAAATCCCATGTTTGCTTTGTATTACTGAGCATGACTTTAAAGCTTGCTTCAGCCTTGTGTTATATCAAATTATCAATGTAATTTTTATGAGATTAAATTAAATATACAGGGTGGGGCAAAAGTAGGTTTGCAGTTGTGAGTATGCAAAACACAGTTTATTCTTGTATTATTATTTATTAATGATTGTATTATTTTCCATATGAACAACTGTAAACCTTTTGCCCCCCCTAATGCAATTGATGGATCTGTTTTAGAATTTAAACTATGTACAACTTGATTATTTTTTAAATGAATTGTCTTCAGAGTTATATTACCAATTAAGATTTTGAATAGTTGTTGATAATAGTAACTGGTGAGAGACAGTATAGCATAATGACAAAGAAAGTAGTCTAGATTCAAATCCCAGTCTGTTGTTTTATTAGCTGTGTCATCTTGGGTGTGCTATTTAACCTCTTTGTGCCTCCTTTTCCTTGTCTATAAAGTGAGGATATGATACGTATCCTATAGAATTGTTGGGAGATTAAATGAGTTATACATAATAAAGTGCTTAGAATAGTACCTGGCATATAATAAGTGCTATGTAGGACTGAGCTGTTATTAATGTTAGGATCATTCCTTTTGAATAGGAACTAGAAATTTTCATTCTTCAAGACACTCTCTCCCACTCCCTGACTTTGAAATGTTATCTTGAAAATTATTCAAAATTCAGGCTGGAATTAGTACTGAATTAACAATATCAATGATACTTAATAGCACTTTACAGTTTTCAGTGTACTTTCACACATATTACCCACCACACAGGTTCCTTTTAATAACTCCGTGACTACAGAATATAGATATATTGTTGTATGATATATTGTAAAGGTCAAGATTAAGTGCCTTTTTCCCCCAAGGACATTCAGTTAGCCCTGACTGGAAACTAACTTTTCTGATTTATAATCCTCATTTACTTGTATTTCCCGAGAAGTGCTAGTTTGTGTAGTAATTTTTTTTAGCAGTTATGTGTCTCATGGTACTTGTAATGAAACTGTTTTCTTAGTCACAACCAGTATTTAATAATGAATTCCAAATAATATATTATGAACTGATTAATTACAAGGCCTGTAAGTTATCACCTCAAAAAATTGGGGTCTGCAATGTGAGATGAACTGGCAGTGGTTTCAGAAAAACTGTTAAGACTGGCTTTATTGAGAACATTCCACTGTAGTAGCAAAAGAATAGTGCTTTAAAAAAATTTTTTTAATCCTCACCCAAGGACATACTTAGAGAGAGGAAGGGAGGGAAAGGGGAGGGGGGGAGAGAGAGAGAGAGAGAGAGAGAGAGAGAGATAGATAGATATCAATCGGTCACCTTCAGTACGTGCCTTGTCTGTGTATCAAACCTGAAACCCAGGTATGTGCTCTGATCGTGAATGAACTAGCAGCCCTCCTGTGCACAGGACAGCACTCCAACCTATTGAGCCATGCTGGCTGGGCTGAATAGTGCTTTTTGTAAACTTTGGCCTTTATGTAAACTTGGAATCTAAAGAACCACCAACAAAAGCAGTCTTCTAAAATCATTTATATTAACTGAACAGTTTTTGAACTATCACTTATTTTCATAGTAACTGCTGGATTAAGACAGTTTATCTAAGCAGTGGTTTACGAGCATAATGCATTTTAAAAAATGTAATAATAGTATAAATAATAACTAACAGTTGTTGAGTACTGTGTGCCAGGTATTGTTCAAAGTGCTTTATGTGTAGTGTATTTAAACTTCACAACAATCTTGTCCACATTTTACAGATGAGGAAACAGAAGCACAGAGAAGCTTCTTGTCTGAGGTTATACAATCGGGAGTGGTGGAAGCAGTGTGCTCCAGAATTTTCATCCTTAATCACATACAGTAATAACCTCATAAATATTTATCAATAATGTCAAAGGATGTCAGTACATTTAGTGCTCACCTAAGTTCTTATTTGTTGCTTTTATTGGAGAGCGTAAGTGGTAGTAACTGTCACTACTTGCCTTATTTAACTTTCATGCAAATTATTTCTCTGTTTTCTTCTTTAACTCCTTTTTGTGGCTAGGTGGGATATAAGAACAAATGAAAATATGGGTGTTTCTGTGCCTTTACCTTGTATAAAAATAAAGAAGAGAAATAAATATTATAAAATTCTCAACTGTTAAAACTTTTTTCCAACCATTTGTATTTCTTAGAGAAGTTATGGTAGTTTTATTATTTTGTTGCAGTCATTATGTAATAAAATAATTCAGTATAAGGAAAATTTATTCTGTAATGTAAGATGATAGGGGTGTGAAAATCCAGGAATAATGCATTGCAGGTTGCACTAATATATATTGCTTTTAGTGTTAATTTTAGGTAAAGATTGATTGCTTAATAAAATATTTATAAATTACTCATCTTTTCTTATCTCTTATTTTTTTTGACAAGTGGTAAATGAGAACGTCAGCCTCGTGATCTCTCGGCAGTTGCTGACTGATTTCTGCACACATCTCCCTAACTTGCCTGATAGCACAGCCAAAGAAATCTATCATTTCACCTTGGAAAAGATCCAGCCTAGAGTCATTTCATTTGAGGAGCAGGTAAAAATCTAGAGCAGTGGTATTTGAACTTGAGATAGCAGCAGTTATTTTGAGAGATGTTATTAAATTTTTAAAGGATATAATCATTCAATTTCATTTTGTGAAAATTGTGCTAAAGAGCATTTTACAATATATAATAAAATAAATATTAGGATGTTGTAAATCCAGCTGACATTTGCTCATTTATTACAATTTGGTTTTAATGCACCAAGTATTACTCTTTAGACAGTTTTAAAAATCAGTTAAATTGTTAATTATACTGAAAATGTAGAAAACTCCAGCAGTATCTATGCAATAACATAACAAAACTTAATATTTAAACTAAATTATTGCCATAATCCACATTGTAATAATGTGTTATTTCAGTTTACTCTTTTGATATTCTATTAATACAAAATACATAGAAAAGTTTGAATGATCTAGATAAACTTTTACTACTTGCGAACTTGCTGTGTTGAATGATAGCATTGTTGCAATAAACTTATTTATTTTAATTAGTTAACTAATGTCAGTTGATATAACATGTATACCTATTATTTCAGGTTGCTTCCATAAGACAGCATCTTGCATCCATATATGAGAAAGAAGAAGATTGGAGAAATGCAGCCCAAGTGTTGGTGGGAATTCCTTTGGAAACAGGACAAAAGTATAGTAAATAGTGGATATTGGATGGATATATATATCCATATATGTGTATATATATATATATATACACACACACATAACACATATAAAGGATATATATAATTATTCACTTACATTTTTTCTTACATTGTAGTGTTGGAAACAGATGATAAACAATAAATAAATAAATTTGGTAGTATGTTAGAAGTGATAAGGGCTATGGAGAAAAGTAAAGGGCAAAGTGGGGGACAGGTGGTATCATTAAGTAGGGTGATTAGAGTGGTAGGGTAATCCTGACATCACCTTCTCAGACTTCTGAAGGAGGAAAGGGAGTGGCTATGAGCTCTCTGAGGGAAGAGTATTAGTAGATCCTTTTAGAGAGAATGGTTAGTACAGAGGCCCTAAAATGGGAGCATGCTTGGAGTGTTTAAGAAGAGCAAGCCCTGGCCGGTTTTGCTCAGTGGTTAGAGCGTCGGCCCTCAGACTGAAGGGTCCTGGGTTCAAGTCCGGCCAAGGGCACGTACCTTGGTTGCAGGCTCAGTCCCCGGCCCCAGTCGGGGCACATGCGGGAGGCAACTAGTCGATATTTCTCTCTCCCTCTCCTTTCCACTCTCTCTGAAAAACAGTGGGAAAAATATCCTTGGGTGAGGGTTAAAAAAAAAGGAAGAGCAAGGAGACACTGTGGGTAGAATGGAATGAGCAAAGAGGATGAGGTCAGAGAGTATTAGCTTCCAGATTATCTGGGTTCTTATAAGCCATTGTAAGATCTTTGGATTTTCTTTAAGTGAAATAAAGGGGCGGGGCACTGGAACATATTTTACAGAAGACTGGCATAATCTGACATATTTTTTTAAGGCTCATTCTGACTACTGAGTTGAGAATAAACTGGAGGCATGCAATGATAGAAGTAGGGCCATTAGTTAGGAGGCCGTATGCACTACTGCAGATGAAATGGAGATTGCGAAAAATGTTGGATTCTGGGTATGTTCATAAGGTAGAGCTAAGGATTTCTGATGGCTAGACATGGAGTGTAAGAAAAGAACCCAGATAAGTCCTGATTTTTGGTCTGAACAACTGGAAAAATGGAGTTGCCATCTACTAAGTGGTAAAGAATAGGTTTTGAGGGAAGACCAAAAGTTCTGTTTTGCACATGTGATAACCAAGTGGAAATATCTAGTATGGAGTTGGATATATTAGTCTGGAGTTTAGGAGGGAGTTCTGGACTGGAGATACATATTTGGGAGTCATTGATATATAGATGGAATTTAAAACCATTAGATTGGATGAGATCTCCAAGGGAGGGCATATAGATAGACAAGAAGACCAAGTACTGAGGCCAGGAGCACTCCAACATTAAGATGTCAGGGGCAGGAGAAAGATACAGCAAATGAAGATAGTCCATTGAGGTAAGAAGACAACCAGAAGAATGTGGAGTGTGGTGTCCTAGAAGCCAAATGAGAAAAATGTATTGAGAAGGAGCAAGTGATCAAGTAAGATGAGTGAGGGTTAACCATAGGAGTTAGTAATGTGGAAGTCATTGGTGATCTTGACAGAAGCTGTTTCAGTGAATTGGTGAGAGTGAAAGCCTGACTGAAGTTGTTTAAAAGATAATGGGTGCTTGCTTTAGCAGCATGTATTTAAAAAAAATAGAGATTGGGAAGAGAGAAATTGGAGATGGTGAGCAGTTGTCATGGGCAACTCTGTTGGGGAAATGTTCACAAGGGAAGCAGAGAAATAGGGTAGAAGCCCAGCCAGTGTTGCTCAGTGGTTGAGTATGGACGCATGAACCAGGAGGTCACAGTTCAATTCTTGGTCGATCCCCAGTAGGGGGCACGCAGGAGGCAGCCAATCGATGATTCTCATCATTGACGTTTCTATCATTCCATCTCCCTTCTTTCTGAAATCAATAAAAAAATATTTTTTAAAAAAAGATTAACCTTTAAAAAAAAATAGGGTAGAAGATGATAGCAGAGGTTAGGTTAAGAGATTATTTTTATTTTTATGATCCAATGGAAAGCAAAAATTTGATATAGGAGAGTAGTGGAGGAGATTATTGCAGGAGCAGACAAGAGGGGAAGGAATCTAGTAGAGGGATAGGCTTTAGATAGGAGCATAGATAGTTCACCTTGGCACTGTTTCTCAACCTTGGCACTGTTGACATTGTATTTACTTATTTTTTTACTTATTTTTTTATTTATATCTTTATTGATTTGAGAGAGAAGAAGGGAGAAAGAGGGAGGGAGAGAGATAGAAACATCAATGATGAGAGTCATCGATTGGCTGCCTCCTGCACGCCTGCAACCCAGGCATGTGCCCTGACCAGGAATTGAACCTGGATCCTAGGTCGATGCTCAACTGCTGAGCCATGCTCGGCTGGGCACTGTTGGCATTTTAGATTGGATTATTCTTTGTTGTGGAGGCTGTCCTGTGTATTACAAAATGTTTAGCAGCATGACAGGCCTCTACTCACTAGATGCCAAAGCACCACTACTCTCAGTTTTGACAATTAAAAATGTCTGTATCCATGGGTTATGCATAGTGCAGTAGGTCGGGGGG